ATTGCAAGCAGATTTGTTGCCCATTGAGCTATCTGGGAAAGCACAAGACAAACATGCATAAAAGTTAATGTTAGATCGTGATAGATATTATGAGAAGTGTAAGCAAAACAGATAGAGGGGTCATGGGGCTTCCCTGGTGGCTCAGATGGTAAATGACCTACCTGTAATGAAAGAGACCCAGGTTCAATCCCTGGGTTTGGAAGATCCCCTGGAGAAGGGAATGGCTACCCACTCCAGAATTCTTGTGGAGAAGTCCATGAACAGTGGTTACAGTCCATGGGGTCACAATGAGTTGTTCATACCTGAGCAACTAACACTACTTTCAGAGGGATCATACACATATATCCAGAAAGAGAAGATGATTAAAAGGTTGTTTTAGATTATCTGGTTAAAAAGTACCCATAGTTAGTATGAGAAAATTTTTGAAGAGATTATAGTTAAAAATTTCCCCATCATGAAAAAGGAAATAGTCAATCAAGTCCAAGAGGTGCAAAGAGTCCCATACGGGATAAACCCAACAAGAAACATGCCCAGACACATATTAATCAAACTAGCAAAGACTAAACACAAAGAAAGAATATTAAAAGCAGCAAGGGAAAAGCAGAAAGTAACATGCAAGGGAAATCCCATACATTTAACAGCTGATCTTTCAGCAGAAACTCTGCAGGCCAGAAGGGAATGGCAGGATAAATTTAAAATTCTGAAAAGGAAAAAATCTACAACCTATATTACTATACTCAGCAAGGATCTCATTCAAAATTGATGGAGAAATAAAAATCTTTTCAGAAAAGCAAAAGTTAAGAGAATTCAGTACCAGCAAACCAGCTTTACAACAAATGTTGTTGTTGTGAGTCACTCAGTCATGTCCGAAAGGGACTTATATAGTCAAGAAACGCAAAAGAGAAAAAAAGATCTACAAAATCAATCCAAAACGATTAAGAAAATGGCAATTGGAATATGTATATCAATAATTACTTTAAATATGAATGGATTAAATGTTCCAACCAAAAGACACAGACTGGCAAACAAGACCCATATGTATGCTGTCTATAAGAAACCCACTTCAGACCTAAAGACTCTGAAAGTGAGACTGAAAGTGAGAGGATGGAATAATATATTCCATGCAAATGGGAAGCAAAAGAAAGCTGGAGTAGCAATCCCCATATCAGATAAAATAGACCTTAAAGAAGATTATAAGAGATAAGGGAGGACACTGCATAATGATCAAGGGATCAATCCAAGAGGAAGACATAACAATTGTAAATATCTATGCACCCTACATCGGAGCACCTCAATACATAGGATAAACACTAACAGACATAAAAGGAGAAATTGACAGTAATACTATAATAGTAGAAGACTTTAACACCCCATTCACACCAATGGACAGATCATCAAAACAGAAAATTATTAAGGAAACATAAGCCTTAAATGATACATTGGAGAGATGGATGTCATTGATATCTTCAGGACATTCCATCCAAATGCAGAAGAATACATACACCTTCTTCTCAAGTGCACATGGAATATTCTCCAGGGTAGACCACATCTTGGGTAACAAATCAAACCTCAGGAAATTTAAGAAAATTGAAATCATATCAAGCATCTTCTCCGACCACAAATCTATGAGACTAGCTATCAATTACAAGAAAAAAACTGTCAGAAACACAAACACATGGAGATTAAACAATATGTTTCTAAATAAACAACAGGTTCCTGAAGAACTCAAAGGGAAATCAAGAAATTTCTAGAAACAAATGGCAATGAAAACATGACAACTCAAAACCTATGGGATGAAGCAAAAGCAGTTCTAAGAGGAAAGTTTAATAGCAATAGAGTCCTACCTCAAGAAACAAGAAAAAACATTGAATAGACAACCTAACTTTACACCTAAAACAACTGTGAAAAGAAGAACAAAAAAACCCCAAAATTAGTAGAAGGAAAGAAATCATAAAGATTCGAGCAGAAATAAATGAAAAAGAAATGAAAGAAACAATAGTAAAAAAAACTAAAGTAGTAAAAACAAAAAGTTGGTTTTTGGAGATAATAAAATTGACAAACCTTTAGCCAGACTCATGAAGAAAAAAGAGAGAAGAATCAAATGAGCAAAATGAGAAATGAAAAATGAGAGTTTACAACAGACAATGCAGAAATACGAAGGATTATGAGACTATTATGAACAACTATATGGCAATTAAATGGATAACCTGAAAGAAATGGACAGATTCTTAGAAAAGTTCAACCTTCCAAAACTGAGCCAGGAAAAAATAGAAATTATGAACAACCCAATAACAAGCACTGAAATTGAAGTTGTCATCAAAAATCTTCCAAAAAACAAAAGCCCAGGACCAGAGGGCTTCACAGGAGAATTCTATCAAACATTTAGAGAAGAGCTAATGCCTGTCCTTCTAAAACTCTTTCAAAAATTTGCAGAGGAAGGAACACTTCCAAATTCATTCTATGAGGCCACCATCACCCTGATACCAAAACCAGACAAAGATGACGCAGAAAAAGAAAACTACAGGCCAGTATCACTGATGAACATAGATGCAAAAATCCTCAACAAAATTTTAGCAAATAGAATTCAGCAGCACATCAAAAAGCTCATACACCATGATCAAGTTGAGTTTATTCTAGGGATGCAAGGATTCTTCAATATACAGAAATCAGTCAATATGATACACTATATTAACAAATTGAAAGATAAAAACCATATTGATAATCTCAATAGATTCAGAAAAAGGCTTTGACAAAATTCAGCACACATTTATGATTGAAACTTTAAAAAAAAATGGGCATAGAAGGAATCTACCTCAACGTAGTAAAGGCCATACATGATAAGCCTACATCTAGCATTATTCTCAATGGTGAAAAATTGAAAAGCATTCCCCCTAAGATCAGGAACAAGACAAGGGTGTCCACTTTCACCACTGTTATTCAGCATAGTTCTGGAAGCCCTAGCTACAACCATTAGAGAAGAAAAAGAAATAAAAGGAATCCAGATCAGGAAATAAGAAGTGAAGCTCTCACTGTTTGCAGATGACATGATACTGTACATAGAATGCCCTAAAGATAGTATCAGAGAATTACTAGAGCTAATCAGTGAATTTAGCAAAGTTGCAGGATATAAAATCAACACACAGAAATCACTTGCGTTTCTATATACTAACAATGAAAAATCAGAAAGAGAAATTAAGGAATCAATCCCATTCAACATGGCAACAAAAAGAATAAAATATCTAGGAATAAACTTACCCAAGGATACAAAAGAACTGTATACAGAAAATTATAAGACACTAATGAACAGAATCAAAGATGACATAAACAGATGGAGATAGATCTGATCTAAACAGATAGATCAGGTTCTGAAGGATTAACTCTTGCTGGCTAAATTCACAAGAAACTGACTAATACACTAGATCTCATTTGAGCTGTTTTATGCAGAGAATTAACTAAGTTTAAGGACTCAGGGAAGATGATTTGTGGGGCAAGCTACTAGGAGAAAAGAAACTAGTGGTCTTAATAGGAAATACCATTATGCTGTCATTGTATCAGATTCATAAAGATAAATTTACTTAGATAATTATAAGATTTAAACACTAGCTTGTCAGGGCACCCTAATTTTTGTTGTTGCTGAGGATACTCTGTGGTTTCTTGGCTTTTTCTTCTAAACACTTCAAGACACTATACTGATATTTAACTTCCTTAGACAAGTTCTGTAGAGTTGATTCAATTACGCTAGCTTCTCATTATTCCACTCCTAATGGGCCTTACTGCACATTCACTTTGATTTCTCGATGGAGTCTTAAGAGACAGTCCCATCACATGTCTATGATCATTGTTACATCATTATCTTAAAAGATTATTTCAGCTCACCCTGTTTCCAAATCCTAGGGCTACCCTTTTATTTCCTTCGTATTTCACTCTTTATTTCTGTGCCTTAAACTCTAGGCAAACTTCTTGTTCTTCCCAAGCCTGTTCCCACTTCCTATTCAGGCCTTTGTGGTGGTGTTTCTGCCTCTGCTCACTTCACGTGCATTCTGAATGCGAGCAGCAGTGCGCGCTCCTGCTGCCATGGAGCACTGGCATGAAGTTCCTAGATCCCATGCTTCATAGGCACTGGTCACTGCCGCATGCTGCTTCTCCAGTCCCTTGGCCACACCCTGGGCTGTCTTACTCTAGTTCATCGTTTAGGGATATCTCTTTGGGCTTGCTGTCTCTCTCGGACACAGACACACCTCATCCACTGATCCCTCACTTATTCGTCTCTCTGGACTTGAAGTCTCTCCTTGCCTTTTCCTGCTTCAACTAAAATCCCATCCTTCTATACAGTGGCTTCTTTTCTCTTCTTTTTAAAAAATGTCTGGCTGTGCTGGGTCTTTGTTGCTGCAAGTGGGCATTCTCTCGTTGAGGCGAGCAGGGGCTCCGCTCCAGCTGTGGCCAGCTGTGGCTGCTCACTGTTGTGGTGGTGCTCAGTCTTCTCACCGCAGTGGCTTATCTTGTTGAGCATGGGTTCTAGGGCATGCAGGCTTGTGGGCCATGGGCTTAGTTGCCCTGTGGCATGTGGGATCTTCCTGGATCAGGGGTTGAACCCGTGTCCCCTGCATTGGCAGGCAGATTCTTAACTACTGCACCAACAGGGAAGTGCTATACTGTGGTTTTTGAACACAGAATTTGTATCACCTCTCCAGCTGGATCTACTCCTTGAGTGCAGGTATGGAGACAGTTACTTCCTTTAAGTTGCATATAATATGCATCAGAGAACATATCCTCTAAATAAGAGTATGACTTTGGGAAAATCTTCTCATACATTCCAGTTGTCTTATTTGTCAAAGAGAGATAATACTCCAGCCTACCTCAAAACTTTTATAAAAGCTAAATATATGAAGTGGGTAAAAAGCTTGGACAAAGTCACATTGTACTGGGAAATTTGAACTCAGACTGAAATGGATGAAAACCGGAAATTTCCACTTTTAATGTAAATATGTTACTTCTCACAGGGAAATCCTGGAGGCAAGACCCTTGAGGAGAGACGCTCCAGCCTGGATGCTGAGATTGACTCTCTGACTAGCATCTTGGCTGACCTGGAGTGCAGTTCCCCCTACAAGCCTCGGCCCCCGCAGGTAAGTGCTAGCTGTGAATATTAGCCACAGATAATCTGCAATTACCTGAAAGAACAAGCTGCTTCTTACAGCCCTTCTTTCTTTTTTGATTTTCTCAGAGTCAGTGGTCTAAGTTATCTTTTTTAATATCAACATGTGCCAGTCAACAGAAATTTCTTTAACTGATTTGATTAGTATTTTCTCTAAAATAACACCACAGCATCCTACCCATTTATAAGTTAAAGCTTGTTATGCCACTGCCCTACTCCTTTTCTGGCTTTGCCTCAGTGGATATTTTGTTGTATGTTGGTAGAATCTTCAGAGATATGGTTTAGCATGGCTGTGTTAAAGTCAGGGTGAGAACTACATCTTTTCTAAGAAATTCCTTACATCAAATAAATTGAGACGCCTTCCTTTTTCAGTTGTAAGTAATGCTGCCTAGGACATGTTCGTGTATATTTTCTTTGGAGCTATTTGCATAACTCATTTTTAGAGTGGGATTTCTACATTGGGGATTATGACTACTTCTTACTTTTCTTTCCATGGATACTGAATAGCTTATGTTAGTACCAAGAGTTTGAATATATCAATTTCTCCCCAGTTGTACTAGCATTTGGTGTCAGCAATTAATGTATTTTTCTTTTTAATCTATTTTTTTTAATGGAAGGATAATTGCTTTACAGAATTTTGTTGTTTTGTGTCAAACATCAACATGAATCAACCATAGGTATACATATGTCCCCTCCCTCTTGAACCTCCAATTTTTTTTTTTTTTCTAATGCAAGTGGTGTCTTGTTATTAGTTCTTCTTTGCATCCCCTGGCTTCCTTTGGAGGGTGGCTATTTTTCTTCACCTTTATTTATTATCTGCATTTCAGAAGCTGACCTTGCACTGCTAGTGGTCATGCCTTGCCTCCCTCCAGTCTCGAGAAATTAATGGTAAATCAATTTCAGGGCTTCTGAGCCCTCCTAAGACAGCCAGCAGTAGTCTTCATGCAGACCTTGGCCCGGAACTCTTGTCACTGTGTGGCTCATCTCTGTGTGATGTTTGCTTGACCTTCAGCACTCCAGCTCTCCAATAGCAGCTCCAGCATTCACAGGGATTCCTTTCTCAAGTAAAAAACCAGTCCTGCTTCTCTGCTGGCAGTCATTTCTCTCTTTCTTTCTTTCTTTTTTCCATTTATTTTTATTAGTTGGAGGCTAATCACTTTACCATGTTGCAGTGGTTTTTGTCATACATTGACATGAATCAGCCATGGATTTACATGTATTCCCCATCCCGATTCCCACCTCCCTCTCCACCCGATCCCTCTGGGTCTTCCCAGTGCACCAGCCCTGAGCACTTGTCTCATGCATCCAACCTGGGCTGGTGATCTGTTTCACTATAGGTAATATACATGTTTCGATGTTGTTCTCTCGAAACATCCCACCCTCGCCTTCTCCCACAGAGTCCAAAAGTCTGTTCTCTACGTCTGTGTCTCTTTTTCTGTTTTGCATATAGGGTTATCGTTACCATCTTTCTAACTTCCATATATATGTGTTAGTATGCTGTAATGGTCTTTATCTTTCTGGCTTACTTCACTCTGTATAATGGGCTCCAGTTTCATCCATCTCATTAGAACTGATTCAAATGAATTCTTTTTAATGGCTGAGTAATATTCCATGGTGTATATGTACCACAGCTTCCTTATCCATTCATCTGCTGATGGGCATCTAGGTTGCTTCCATGTCCTGGCTATTATAAACAGTGCTGCAATGAACATTGGGGTGCACGTGTCTCTTTCAGATCTGGTTTCCTTGGTGTGTAGTCATTTCAATACAGTCCTGAGTAAGGTGCTTTCCTCTTTCGACCTGATCCAGCTGCCTTTCCTAGACATACAACAGGACTGTCAGTTATGTGGGGCACAAGCCACGCACCCTAGTGCCTAGTTCTTCCTTAGCTGTCATCGCTCTTGGCTCCACTTGGCCTGTTGGTTGTGCAAATGCACTTTGTTTCTATAAACACGTGCTGAGCTGCAGACAGGTGGCACCTGCTGTGTGTGCTTTTGGGGGGAATTATTAGAAGAAGGAAAGAGGTTGGTTAAAAGGAAGAAAAATAGGACCAAGTGGTCCTCTTTCAGGAATCCATAATAAGTTCAACATTGGCAGATACATCGAAGAGCAAAGAAAAGACTGAAATATTCTTTTAAAGGTGGCAACATCTGCAAAGGTTATTCCAAAGACTCATATGTTCTGATCAGGGATGGAGGGGTGGTGATGTTGGAGGCGAGAGGGGAGAGCAACCTGAGCCCCAAGGAAGGAAGGTCCAGGCTGCATTCAGAGAACTGCAAGCTGCCTAGTGGTTGCAGACGAGACCATTGAAAGCTTCAAGTGGAGTACAAGCCTGGAAGGTCTCCTGCTTACAGCCCACGGACATGTTTGAGTGCCAGATGAAGATTTTGGCTTTTCTTTAAAATAATGGGGGATAGTTGAAGGTTTCCAAGCAGATAAAATCTACAGTTCATCCTGGAGAAGGAACATAGGAAATAAGACACTGTTTCTCAGGTGATTGATCAGTGTCCCTTGAGTATAGCTTTTTCATAAAAAGAAAAACATTCAGAGAAAAATCTCAATATGATCTAGAACTTGAAAATCAAAACACAGGTCTAATTTCAAGGTCTGGCTATGCTCACATTATAGTCATGTGTCCTCAGACAAGCCACTTACCTACTAAGTCTTAGTTTCCTCATCCACAAAATAAGCACAGCATCTATATCTGAGTTACCTATGTTTCACTCTAGTGTGGAGAGATGTGAAAGTGCTTTATAATCAGTAAAGCACTGTGCAAATAACAGTGATTATGAGTTTGTCTACACGGTGAGATTGTGCAAACAAAAATGTGGCTGCTGAATAAACCCATAAAAATGTGGAGGTGAGTTGGAGGCATGTGTAGACAGTCTTAAAGAATGTAGGCTATGTTAAGAAAAACCTTTAATCTGAATCTCCCTATTATATTAGGGTATGAGAATTTAGGAGGAAAGAACAAGATTAAGCAAAAATCCTTTTAAAAAAGGGGAGAAGGCATATATATGTATTTATGCACAAAATGGATGAGTCCAGTGGCAAAGTCAGTGGCCTTGCCATTGTGTAAAGTGGGCTTGAGTGGAATTGGAAATATGCTTAACATCAAACAACATTTAGAAACTCAGGAGTAAGCAAGGCTAGCTAGAGAACATTTCTGAGACCTGGGCCCATCCTCTTGCATCTTTCTAGAGTGCGAGATACAAGCTATTGGTTATGAAATAGGCTCAAGGATATGCTGTACAACACAGGAAATAAGGCTAATATTTTGTAATAACTGTAAATGGAAAGTTACCTTTAAAAACTGTATGAAAGTTAAAAATTAAAAAAAAGTTATTAATGAAAACTCAAGTAGAGCAGGTTGAGAATTCCACTTTTCATGTGTCTGTTCCATTCAGAAGTTAAAGAGCAATCCATTCTAACTTCATTATTCTAATTTAGGAAAGCAAAAGTTAAGTGGGAGAAACAGCTCATTCTTCTGAATTATCTTTACTCTGGTGGAGCTGAATTAGATACGTTAGTATTTATTAGTTAACATAATTATATACTGTGAGAACAATAATCACACACTTAGAATATTAAAAATATGTGCCAGGAGAAGATGGTGTCTTCAGTAGACTGTGTTGTGTTGCAATCAAAATGTATTTGAACAGTCCTCAAAATGTAGACTGTTAATGGCCAACTTCAACGTTTCCAGTTTTGATCCAAGCTAATTGCAAAACCTGTTAAATCACTGACAACTTAAAGTAGGCTAATAGGTCTGCGATTTTTCATTATTCAATCATGTGTTGTGTGCCTTACTGAACCCACCTTTCCTGAATCACCTTTGCAAGGCTGCATTAACTCATGGATAAAGGATAAAATGATCATATAGGTAGATGTTTGTACAGTAAGAGGTCCAAAGTTGCTCTATTTACTTAACAACTCTGAAAATAGATTTTATAGGGGCATTTTCTTCCTTTTACCAAAGGAGCAATTTCTACTGTCGTATTTCCGAACTTTATTTCTATTCACTTTTTAATCCATATTTTTCTTTGGGAAATGTGCTTCATTCCACTAAGTTTCATTCATTGAACTAACATTTTTGAGATCCCATTGTGGGTTAGGCATTGGAAATATAGAGGTTAGAATCCACATTTTCTTGCTCTAGAGGAATTCCTGGTCTTAGAGAAGCGACAAATGCATAAACAGTTCAGAGGGGCACAAAAGAAGAGCTTGTTGGATATGCTACTTGAAGTTATGTGTGACTCACTGGATGTTGAAATTGCTGGGAAATCAAAAATAGGAGTATCAACTTTATATTTTATACTTCTCTAGGGAAGTGTCAGGGAGGACTACCCCGAGCAGGTAGAATTTGAGTTCCTTTGGCTGCATATTTGGGAAGGGCATGGAACTCAAATGAGAGAATAACAGAAATGTGTAAGTCATGGGAAGTTGGAAGAGAATGAATGCCTTTTTGGAAGACTAAAGTAGTTCATTTATGACATGGGGTATGTGAAGTACAAAGGGAAGAGCAGATGGAATCCCATGCTCTAATTAATACCTAAGTAGCCTTCTTGATATCCAAGAACTCTTACAGTAAAAGGAGAAATTTGGGGGGTGGGTAGCAACGATATTTAGAGTGGGTAGCAACGATAGTTAGAGTGGATTTAAGGGTAACACCTTTTGAACTTTTACAGAAGATGTAAAAATGTATTAACACATCTGTGCCGGCCATTGCACAGAGTAATGTGATGAAACTACCATAGTGTTTAGTACTAAAAGTTCTAATCATGATAAAATGTGTGTTTTAGGGAGTAGTTTTAGAAGAACAGATGTGATAAGTTCTGAGATGGTTGAATTGCAGACTCAGTATGATCTTAGAGTATCATAGTTTAGAGGTCATTTAGCCAAACTCTAGTTTTCATCTGGAGAGAAAAAGAATATTATTGCTCAGTGAGGCTCATTAGAGGTAGAATCAGT